GGGCTGCACAGGTGGGCACCGCGCACACCGAACGGGGAAGGTGTCCCCATCCCTGTGTGTGTGTGTGTTCGGGGGGATCACACAATTCACACTGCCGATCTCCCTGCTCCGTGGTCATGTACAGCAAGTGCAGTCTTTGTTAACCCTTTACAGTGGCAGTTTCTACAGTGCCAGCCTCTTGTTACCATACTCACCCATCTGCGTTTTCATGGAGCTGACAGTATAATTGTACACCAAGCAATGAAGCATTTTGTTCCTGTTCCCCATCCCCCCAGAAAAAAAAAAAAAAAAAAACACAAAACAAAAAACAAAAACAAAACAGCAAAGCAGTCATTTGCCCTGTGCCCAATCATTTTAAACAGATTTCCCTTTTTTTTTTTTTAATAAGACCAGTTATTTGATGTTCATATTTTAGTTAGCTAGCCACTAAGCTAAGTGATGGTCAGGTGGGGGCCCTGTGGTTGTTGCCACATGCTACAACACAGGGTCTCTGGTTCATTTCTGCCATATTTACCCAGGATGGTGCAGGGTGGTGTAGCAAATGTTCTTAGGCCTCCACAGGTACACCTTGTTTCACTCTACAGCATGTTCACTTAACCAGTTTAATAGCAGCACTTGCACCATCCAGAGTGCAAGACCTCACATTAAGAACAGGTGAGCATTGCTTGATTTCACTGAGGACAGAGCAGAGAACAAAATAAGGAGGTCTTGAATATCTTGCCATCATTTGAAACAAAATCATATTCATACCTTTATGAGATTTCCTTCCACAAGAGTTGTATTAGATTTCATAAGCAGGGTTTTTGAGATTTTTCTATTCTGAAGAAAAAAAATCTGCAGCTTTTCTTTTCTAGAATCTTTGTTTCTGCCCCCATGTCAGATCCTCAGTAGAGAACAGATAGTGCATTGAATTCTCAAATCTAAATTGTCTGTGATATTTGGCTTATCAATCACTTCTATACTCTGCTGTTTCAAGTGGTAAAGGAATATATACCATCTGATCTAGCAGACAACTAGTAAGCCTGTTGTGTGTCTGTTCTTATATTTTACTATATGGAATGAAGGATGCTTCCTTAAGTGTCACTTAGGAATGTATGTTTTGGTTTTAAATGTTGTAAATCTAAATACAGGTGTAATTCACTCACTTAAAACGTTTTAAGAATTGCAATAGCCACTGTTAACTTATTTGTCAGTGAAGTAATTATATTTACATTACTTAATTATATGTTTTGACTTACTTATATTAAGTCACTCTAGCAGCAGGTGTTCATGCAAGTGAATTTTACTGCTTTTGTTATTTTAATAATGTACCCACAATGTGCAACCAATCATATTTCTTGAATGAGTGAATATTTTGACACATTTAGAAAAGATGTCATCTTGCACTGCCATCTGTCCCAAATTTTGCAGGACAGTCTTTATTTTGATGAATATGTCACGCATTTTATAAGATTAATTTGGAGGATATTAAAGTGTGTGCTAGTTAATCTGAATAATGATATTCCACCTGTGTTGTACTATGAGGAGGCAATTTGTTACAGGTTACCAAAGGATCATCTGTAATGTTTGCAATTAATATTTGCTACTATGACTTAAATATTGTAAAGCACGGCAATAAAACTAAACTTTCCATAGATTGTGCACAAATTTGTGATCAAAGTATATAAGTAAAAGGCATTTGGTCAGAACAGCAGAATGTACTTTTCTCCTCTTGCAACTTTCAAAAGCTAAATGTACAATTGGAATCTCTGGCTTATCTGCAGCAATCTACTGCATATTTTTAACTCCAAGCAGGAGTCCAGGAGCACTCATTCAGAGAGGAGAATTCCACTTGCTATACAACACCATCACTTCTTACAAGGTCACATTGTATTCCAGTATTAACCCAGCTTTACTTGTTTTGCTGGTTTTGTGGGGGAAAGAGTTAATTTGTTCATAGTACAGGGCTATGATTTAGTTTTGTGCTGGAAAAAATGTTGATAGCACAGGGATGTTTTAGTTATTGCTGAGCAGCACTTGCACAGCATCAAGGTCTACTCTGCTCCTTATCCCACCCCGCCAGGGAGCAGGCTGGGGGTACACAAGGAGTTGAGAGAGGACAGAGCAATGTGCTGATCCCAACTCACCAGAGGGATTTCCCACATTGTATGGCATCATGCTCAGCAAATAAATTGGGGGGAAAGAAAAAGGAAGGGGAGGACATTAAGAGTGTTTGTCTTCCAAAGTCACCACTATGCGTGATGAAGCCTGGCTTTGCTGACTGAACACCTGCCTGCCCATGGGAAGTGGTGAGTGAATTGCTTGTTTTGCTTTGCTTGCATGTGCAGCTTTCCCTTTACCTATTAAACTGTCTTTACCTCTAGCCACGAGTTTCTCCCTTTCATCTTTATGATTCTCTCTCCCCATCCTGAGTGGGGAATGAGGGAATGGCTGTGTGGGGCTTAGCTGCCAAATAGAGAGGAGAGAGGAGGGGAAGGAAAGGGAGGTGTAGGGGGGCATCTCAATTTTGTTTCTTTGGTTTTTTTACTCATTCCAAACAATTCATGTTAAAAATTAACTAAATGGAACTAAATATGGCTGGCAGCTCGTCACTAGTGGTGTTCCCCAGGGCTCATAATTTTGGCCAGACATGTTTAATATCTTTATCAATTATTTGTATAATGGGATCGTATGCATCCTCAGTAAGTTTGTAGGTGACACCAAGTTAGGTGGGAATGTTGATCTGCTTAAGGGTAAGAAGGCTCTGCAGAGGCATCTGGACAAGATGGATGGATGGGCCAAGATCAGCTGTATGAGGTTCAATAAGGTAAAGTGCTGGGTCCTACCCTTTGCTTATGACAGCTCCATGCACAGCTACTGCCTTGGGGAAGAGTGTATTGAGAATTGCTCAGAATACAGCCAGGAGTACTAGGGAATTGATTATCCCTCATACTGAGAACTGATCAGTCCACACCTTGAATCCTGTATTCAGTTTTGGGTTGCTCCCTTCAAAGAGGTCATTGAGGTGGTGGAGTGTGTCCACAGAAGGACAACGAAGCTGGTTAAGGGTCTAGAAAACATGTTCTATGAGGAGTGACTGAGGGAGTAGGGGTATTTAGTCTGGAGAAGAGGAAGGTCAGGGGAGACCTTCATTGCTCTCTACCTGAAATGAGATTGTAGTGGAGCAAGAGTTGGTCTCTTATGCCATATCTCAAGTGAAAGGACAAGAAGAATGGTCTTAAGTTGTACCAGGGGAGGTTCAGATTAGATATTAGGGGGAAAAAAATCACTGAAAGACTAGTTGGTCATTGGGAAATTTGCCCAGGGTGGAGTCATCGTCTCCAGAGGTATTTAAGAGGTGTTGAGATGTGGCACTTGGGGATGTGGTTTAGGCAGTGTAGTGGTGGTGCTAGTTCATGGTGGGCCTGGATAGCCCTGCAATTGGCTCGGTTGGTTAGAGATGGGTGATAATAATGCCAGGTTTGAGGTCTCAATCCCTGCATAGGCCATTCACCTGACAATAGGGTTTGATGATCCTTATGGGTCCCTTGCAGCTCAGAATGTTCTGTGATTCTGTGAAGATGATCCTGAAGGTCTCTTTCAAAGCTGCTGGTTCTGTGTGTGAAAATACTAACCTAATGCAGGGCAAGAAGTTTCTACAATTGCATGAACAGAAATTGACTCCTTACCCCCTCTATTTCCTGCTTGGTCTTCTTACTCCAGTTTGCACTGTGTCAATTTCTTTTTGTGCAAGGATGAGCCAGAATGGTCCTAATACACTTTATGCAGTTGTAATGTTACGTTTCACTAGCCTCATGGTGCAAAAGGCTTATCTTCAGTGGACCAGAATGAACCCCATACTCAGGTCACTGGGTGAGTTCACTTCCTGGGTACAAGGGTGATAGCATGAAGCAGACATAGTCCTTTGTGAGACCCCAAGCAAATAAGAACTGCAAAAGAAATGAATGCCAAACTGCAGGACATAAAACAAATTGAAAGCAAATAGAATGAGTTCACCGTGTCCACCAAGTAAACAAGAAAAATGCAGAGATTAGTTTGAAACGAACACCAAGAAAATTAAGATTTGGTAAAAATAATAAATGTCTCCCAGTTGAGTAGCCCCAAAATGGTGCTTAATAAATTTCAAGAAAGAAATTTGTTTCCTATGTGGCTTATCCTCTTATGGTTTGCTCATGAAAGAGAAACTTGGTTGATAACTATTTTCACAGAAAATTACACAGAGTAACAAAATTGCAACACGGAAAACTCCCATCTATATTTTAAAATTCAAAATATTTCATTTATAGTAAAATTAAATGCTTACTGCACTGCTGGCTCTGCTACATACCAGGTAAATAAAAAATACACTGTAGAGTCCCACCTGCATGGCCAATTTCAGAGATAATTTCAGAGTAGTGTACTGAGAGAACTAATATTCACTAGAGTTTCCCAAAGGTATGGTATTTGTCATTATACATGCCTTTTTAGTTACGTTCTAATTGCATTCTCGTTGCAGTTTTTCACTAAAACTTTTAGTGTCACTTTCTCCTTCTGACAAAGGTTCAAACCCAATATATCACAGACATAGAAAATAGCACATTAAGATCATATATTCCATGTTTTTTAGAGAACAAAATATGGGAATTTGTTCTAAAAAGTTTCTGAGATGCAACCTGAAACTACATGGGGCAGGTAAAGACATTGATTTTAACAGACACAATATTTCAATTCTAGAGGAGGGGAAGCAGTTGATGGACTCTGGTCCACCTTGTGTAAAGACAAAGC